GTGTTTATATGTAAATCTTGTGTGTTTTACAGTATTAGCGCAATCAGACGATAACTAAGTAATCAGGTGCTGTTTGACCGGTCTTTTAGTGTACGGTCGCTTCGGGTGTAGGCACTCTGAATAAGAACAGCATGCAAATGAAACGTTTAACTGGCAAGGCTTTAAAGCACACGGAAATAATGAACAATGTACAATAATGTTGTGATTGCGAATGAGTGCAGTGTCTCGTGAGTGTAACTCTACTGCGATAACATTTGATGTGAATGTGTCTCGCAATGACAATGACAAGCAGCAGCTTCTAATTCGTCATTAACATTGAAGTATACGGAGATAAAACAACGCAATGTTTTATTTTCACAATAACCGTTTCTTAATATGCGTTCTTGTCTGTTCTTGTGGACTTGTGAAACATCATTGCCCAAAAACCCGCGTATTTTTCTAAATATTACTGTTATTGTGTCATGAAATGTAGTTTTAAGAGTTTTTCAGGACGAGAATGTAATTGTTTAAAATTCAAATCTGCGGTTTATTTATAAAGATTTGAAAATTTGCTATGCCGATTTCGGAGCTCCAGGCGATCACCGGGCGTTCAGTGCTCATGAATCCGCATAGAGCAGCCATAGCTTGGCTAGTCCTTCCGACATTTGCCGCTGGCTCTGATGTCTCTGAAGTGATTAAACATGAGATACAATTAGTTTTGGGTTGGCTATATTTAACAGGCATTCGTGGTCTCGTGAATCTATTATTTGTTCCTGGTCATATCGTTTTGGCTGAGCACAAAGTTATTTAACTTTATATATTGAATTTGAACTTTCATGTAGTACAGCGCTGACTTTGTAGCATACGTTTGACTGAACTGTTTGCTTTTGTCTTTATTTCCTCTTATATAAGCCTCTTATACTTTGTACTTATACTTTTATCATGGCTATTATTGTTAATTAAAACTGACATTTAACAAAAAGAGGCAGAGTTGTGCTTATTGTCGCGGTTCATCGTCGATCGCTACTTTCCGGCATACACCACGCCTATCAATTGGCAGTGGAAACGCAAGCCTGATCAGGGTTACCCGTACCGAATTGTACTGTACTGAACTGTACTGTACCGTACCGCTCAGTGGAAATGAGCCATTAGAAGTGGTGAACGCCTCACTTCTTCATAGGACTTTTCCAATCTCCCTGAAAACTGCAGTTGTTAAAGGGGTCATTTGATGTTTTCTTAAAGATCATTATTTTGTGTATTTGGTGTAACAGAATATGTTGACATGCTTTAATGTTCAAAAAACACATTATTTTTCAAGTACTGTACATTATTGTAGGTCCTAAATGCCCCGCCTCTCTCAAACGCTTCGTTTTCTACAAAGTCCCTCCTTCCAACAAGCGCAGTCTGCTCTGATTGGCCAGCTGACCCAGTGCATTGTGATTGGCCGAACACCGCAAGCACTCGTCGGAAATGTAACGCCCCTTACCATAATCGCGAGCTTCATCTTTCAAAATAAATG